CCAGCTGTGTGACCCTGGGCAAGTCACTTAACCCTGTTGACTATAGTTTCCTCATCTGTAAAATAAGCTGGAGAAGGAAATGGCAAAGCAACCCAGTATCTTTGCCAAGAAAACCCCCAAAATGGGCATGGCTGAAATGACTGAACAACAACAGTAAGACCCACCTGGATCAAGAGGAAAAAATGAACCTGTTGTCAGGTTCCCACATATTGCCTAGGGGCACAAGTTAAAAGCTTGCAGATTTGACACCCTCTGAGGAAAGCTCTCTATGCTTTAATGTGAGTGCCATAGATGAAATTTCTATTACTTTGCTGTTAAATCATTCAGTCCTCATTTTAAATTATTTTAATCAGCCTTCTCTGTAGAAAAGCTATTAGTCAGAATATATTTAGAACATTTTTGACTATTGTGATATTTGTTAAATTATCACAGTACTTTGGCGTGCACGTTTTGCATTCATTTTCTGAACCTCAATGTTTCCTAGCTGCCTCTGAGGGAGTCTATCCAATTTATCCATGTAGCTAACTTTTAAAAAAGTATTTGTTTGGGTTAAACCATTTGCATATGTTGTATCCTCTCTGGTTACATTTCTAGGTAGTATATTTTCTGTCCTCCATGCCTGGAATGTACTCCTTCTTTTCCTCTGCCCCTTAGATTTCCTGGAGTCCTACAGAGCTCATCCTAAATGCTAACTCTCCTACATGAAGCCTTTCCTGATCCCCTCAGCTGCTGGTGCCTCCCTCCTGAAATGATCTTGTATTTACTTTTCATGTACTTATTATCTGTGTGTGTGTGTGTGTGTGTGTGTGTGTGTGTGTGTGTGTGTGTGTGTGTGTTGTCTTCACCAATAGAATGTAATCTCTTTGAAGGGAGGGACTATTTTGTCTTTATATGCCCAATGCCTGGGCCAGAGCCTGACAAATAGTAGGTGCTTAATAAATTCTTGTTAATTTATGCAAATATGTCAGTTATAGATCTAGTGGAGGAAAGGGTCTCAGAGCCCACCTAGTCTAACAGTCCTGCTTTACCAGTAAGGAAACTAAGGCTCAATGAAGGTAAAATGGCTTGCCCAAGGTTGTATTGTGGAGCAGCTAAGTGCTGCAATAGGTCACAGAGTGCCCAGCCCAGAGTCAGGAAGATTCCTCTTCCTGAGTTCAAATCTGGCCTCAGGTATTTACTAGCTATGTGACCCTGGGCAAGTCATTTAGTCCTGTTTGCTTCAGTTTCCTCCTCTGTAAAATGAGCTGGAGAAGGAAATGGCAAACCACTCCAGTATCTTTGCCAAGAAAACCCAAATGGTATCACAAGGAGCTGGACACAATTGAAAATTAATGAAGTCTGAAGGTTGTATACATAGTAAACCTCAGAGGTAGGATGGATTCAAACCAAAGCCCTATGACTCCAGAGCCAGTGCTTTGTCCAGTGGGCCACACTGCCTCCTTTCCTTTGATAGAACTTTGCCAGTTTTGAATGGTAAGATTCTAGCCTGAATGATTCAGCCCTTCCCACCTCTAATGCAAACAGGATAATGATTATTCAGTTTACTTTGACTTCTGGATGAGCACTTAAATACTAGTTCTAAATGAGCATTAAATATCGTCAGATTTAGTTTCCACATTTCTACTGAAACATCAAAGTAATGCTATACTGAACATAATTAGATAGCTTATCATCATTTGGGAGAAAACATGGGGTTCATTATAAGATCAAGAATCTCTGTTTCCCGTTGCTTCCCAGGGTGGGAGCTAGGGAGGAGGGTGTCTACAGGATTCTATTCGATTTTTGAAAATATGAGTTCTCTCTCTCTCTTTTTTTTCTTTCTCATCCTTCCCCCCTTTCTGTATAATATATACTTATATATAGTCTACAGGCATTATATCTATCTTCCTTCTAAGCTTGACTCATATCATATATCAAGTTGAAGGTAAAGACTCACCTTTAAATTCTCAAACTCCTCACTAGAACTTTTCTGTGGTACTTGAAGTCATAGTCACTTTATTACTCTGTTTACTCTTTCCTTTTCCTTCATCTCTATATCCAACCTGTGCCCAAACTTGCAATTCTTCCTTCCATCTCTATTTCTTCTCTTCCTCTCTACTCACTCTAACTCCATCCCCCACCGGGTCTTCCCCCCCCCCCCCCCCCCCCGCCGGACTACTGCAAATCCTCTAATTATTCTCTCTGACTCTGGTCTCTTATCCTCCAAACTACCCCGCACAGTACAACCAGACTAGTTTTTAAAAATTATACTTCCACAGGGCTGTAGTGGGAAAAATGCTACCAAGAGTCAGGAAACCTGGGTTTTAACTCAGTTACTCCCAGTATCCAGCTCTATGACCTTGGGAAAATCATTTAGCCTCCTTTTGTTTTAATTTCCTCATCTGTAAAATGAAGAGATTGGGGTAGAATATTCTTTAATGTCTTTAAAGTCCCTTTCAGGTCTAAAATTCTATAATTTGATGGCATTCCTTTGATTACAAACCTTAAATGGCTTAATTTCTGCAGGACAAAAGCTAAACTCTCCATTTTGACATTTAAGATGCTCTAAAATCTTACCATTTCTTTTCAACCTTATCATTTCTTACAACTTTCTAACACATACTCTCTATTAAGAGTTATGCAGGCCTCTTCACTATTCTTCCAACATTATATAGAGGGCTGGGCCTGGAGTCAGGAAGACCTGAGTTCAAATTTAGCCTTAGATACTCGCTATTATGATCTTGGGCAAGTCTTAATCTCTTAATCTTAAACTTAATTTGTTTGCCTCATTTTCTTCAACTGTAAAACGGGGATAATAGCACCTACTCTGTAGGGTTGCTGTGAAGATCAAATGAGAAAAATATTTGTAAAGCATTTAGCAAAGAGACTGGCACACAGTAGGCATTATATAAATACTTATTCTTTTCCCCTTCCCTCTTTTCACACATTTTAGCAGGCCTGTCTGCTATACTGGCTTCAAAGCTCAGATCAAGTCCCTTTTATAAAGCACCATATTATATTTAAAAGAGCTTTGATAAAATAAATTACTAATATATTAGAATTGTGGTATAATAAAGTTTCATGGAGAAGGGAGGTTTTAAAACAAACAATATCATGCAGAGTGGAGTAAAAAGCATATACCATATTAAGGGTCAGGACATCTGAAATTTTATATTTAAAATGAGATTGGTTTCAACAACTACAACAAAAAACTGGAAAGAAAGTGGAGCAAAAGTAAACTGGTTTATACATGTAATAATTTCTGCTACGATAGAAAGGAGAAACGTCACAAGAAGGAACCCGAACTCTGAGTGACTGAGAAAGCAAAAAAGAAATGGTATCAGAGAACAGATCAGGGAACATACTTGTCTCCCTTTGACTAAAGTGAGGGGGAAATACACTTAGGGAGAATGTCAGATAGAGTGACTATCAAGTAGTTTTGTTTACTCGTTTTTCTTTGTTACAAAGAAGGGTTTGATTAGGGGAGAAAGAGGGACAGTGGTATAGACCTAGAAATAACTGTGATGTAAAAATAAAAGGTACCAATAAAACACTTTTTTTAAAAAGTTAAAAAAAAGTGAGATTGGTTTCCAAGTCCTGAATTGGTCAAAATCTGCCTACATTAAGATCAGTAATTTTTGTCGTTGTTTTAGTCATGTCAGACTTTCTGTGACTCCATGTGGGATTTTCTTGGCAAAGATACTGGAGTGGTTTGACATTTCCTTCTCCATCTCATTTTACAGATGAAGAAACTGAGTTAAACTGGGTCAAGTGACTTGCCCAGGGTCACACAGCTAGTAAGTCTCTGAGGTCAGATTTGAACTCAGGTCCTTCTGACTCGAGAGCCTGTGCTCTATCCACTGCACTGCCTAGCTGTGCTAATAATAATATCTAACATTTACCACATGTATTATCTCCTTTGATCCTCTCAAAAACTCTGAGAAGTAGGTTTTATTATCAACTCCATTTTACAGATAAGAAAACTGAGACTGAGAAAAGCTAGGTGACCTCCTTAGTGTCATACAGATAGGTAGTAACTGAGGCAAGAATTTTGACACCTCATCACCTAGCTGCCAAAGATATTAACTTCCTTCGCTTCTCTGCTTTCTGTTCTCTTTCTATACACAGGTAATTTTTTTCTTTGTTCTAATGACTCTGTTCTCTAGTTATGGTACCTTCTTCCATGCAATGCCTGACACACCTGCTAAGCGACTCTTGCCATCCACTCGATATAAACTCTAAACCATTCTGTGAATAAGCTAAATGTCAGGGAATACAACCAATGTATCAGATTAAACATTTGAAACCTTGTCTCCATACAGGCCTATCTAACTTGTTATTTTACATACATATGCTACACACATATATGAAAACATAGGAAACATGTACGTGTGTGTGTGTGTGTACATATAATCTAGGGGAATCAAGAAAATAATTTTTACATATTCTCCTCAACCTAATGCCACTAAGTTAAATGATAGAAATAATAGCTCAGAACCCTGGCTTTCTTCTTCTTTTAGAATTATAAAGTATGTCAAACTCTGAAATAGCCACATCTATAGTTTTCCTAATTTCAGGATTTCCAGCTAGTTTTGAATGATTCTATTTTACCCGTCTCATTTATGTTCATTTTAAAGTAATTTTCTTATCTGAGATCATTTCATTTCCAGATTAGTTGGCCTAGATGTCAATGTTAAGTCCCATTACTATTAATTTATCTATTCATCTGGTAATGAGTTACATGTGGGCATAAAGAGAAGCATATGCCTTGGGGAAAAATTTAATTACAGTGATGATAATAATAGTATTCTGTACCTACATTCTATTTATGGTGATTTCTTTTTTTAAAAAAATGTATTTCATATATGATTGATCTCTCTAAAGCTATTTCAACCTACTGAGTCAAAGGTGTGCCCTTATTAACTGTTCTTCAGAGCCAGCATATTTCACAGTCTAATAACTATGTGAACTTAAAGTTAAAAAATAAGAAAAATGTATCTATGCTTGTGTTTCACAGGAACCATTTAAAGTCTGTCCCTGGGATGAGAAACCATGCCCTGGATTTCTTCAAGAGCCATGAAAGAGACAAGAAAAATAGGATAACAATCCAGCAAAGAAGAGTAAAAATAAAAGCCTGCTGCCTAAATCCAAGAAGTCAAAGGGGGTTTCAAAGTCTTGTTCTCATTTACTGTCAAAAGAAAGTCACACTCAATAAGAAAAGTCCTTGTCAGAAGGTAAGTTTTGCTGCTCACAATTTAAATGTTTTAGAGATTCTATAGAAACTGTTGCCACTTGAAATCATAAAAAATTCCGATAGTTGACAAAAGGTACCTCTTTTCCTTCCTGGAGTCAGGTCAACTGCCTGAATTCTCGAAGCCAGGGCATAGCCCTCCATAATGACATTGTTATAGACAATATATAAGAAGGTTTTCTCTTTATAGTAGGGAAAGGTCTGTCATATTTAATTCCAGGAAAAAAGAATTGAAATCTATACATAAGTTCTTATTGGAGATGAAGGATTAAAAGAGGCAGCATGGTTTAATGGGAAGATCACTGGACTAGGGGGTCAAGAGACTTGGGTCATAATGTAAGTTCTACAAACTGGTTATTTGAAATTGGACAATATACGAAACCTATTTGAGTCACTCTTCATTTCTAAAAAGAAAGAGTTGAACTAAGGAAACTGCATAGTCTCCTTCTAATTCTGATTCCAAGTTTGTTTGTTTTTTTAGTAGATATTTTATTTTAAAGGAAAAGCTAATTCACTCATTGTGGTGTAATGGCATGGAGGAGGATTACCACACACTGTATTTGACAACCTTGACTACCTAATGAAACACATTTGTTATAACTATCTTTCAGAGAAATGAACAGATAACGAAGTTAGCTTACCTCTACCATTCCTATTTTCCCATCATCATTCTGCCCATATTGATCCACAAAAGTTTTCATTTCAGGTGACAAATCCTAAAAATGGTCAAAATGATCAGTTATTTATTAGAAAATCACAACTACTTTATGCTTTAATGTTCATGATATGCCACAAAAGTACCTAAAGTTAACAGTGTTTAGTATATACTTTATTAAATATACTCTTGGAAGTAGAAGACACTGAGTTGATGTAGAATTATTACAGATTTCAAAGATAAAATGGGAAGGCAGTGTGGTATGTTTGATACAGGACTGGTCTTGGAGTCAGGAATACTTGGGTTCAAGTCCTGACATATACTGGCTATAATCAAGTGATTCAAAAGTGTAATTTGGTAAATTCATTTAACCTCATGGCTGGAGGCAACTTTCTCAAATAGTAAATTACAAATGAATTAGCAATCTGCACTAATGTAAGAATTTCCCCACACTGATAAAAACAAAAGTCCAAATAAACAAACAAACCGAAAAGGTTACAGTTATGATTGCCAGTTTCAAATACGTTTCTCAGATTTCTCTACCATTCTTAGCTTTGAGAATTTAGAAATATTGATTCCAACACTAGCTGACATTTTATATAGCACTTTAAGTTTTACAAAGTACTTTTCATATGCTATCTTCATTTGATCTTCACAACAACCCAATTCAGATATAATTATATTCTTTTACAGGCATGGAATCTGAATTGAGTGACTTGTCCATGGTTATACAACCAATAACGGCCAGAGGTGAGAATTGAACTCATGACTCTAACTGGTTTGAAGTCCAACATTCTTTCCACCACTACACTACCTATTCTAAGCTATTCAGCACATTTAAATAGAAAATATATATTAGTAATGTGGTTAGAGACAATGCATATTCAGAATTAGTTGGAACCAGAAGTTTTGAATCCTGACTCTGCTATTTGTTACCAGTATAACCCTGGGTAAGTCACTTAATCTCTTTGGGCCTCAATCTTTTCAGCTCTAAAATTAAGAGTTTGGACAAAATGATGATTAAGATCTTGTCCAGATTAAATCTCTATGATATTTGTATGACTTACTCTTCTATGAATACATCTACCTTCAGCTCCACTATGTAATCTTTTCAGCTTATTTATCACATATAAATGTATTAGTTTATTTAAAATGTTGATAACATTAATAATTTTTTTAAACTTGGGAGAAATTAGAAGTTGGAAAGTAAAAGAAAATCCTTCTTTGAAAGAATGTTAGGAATGTTTGTAGCAAAGAGAAAATCATAAAGGTAGATTACTTATTTTTATATAAAAGGAATATATGCCTGAAGCAAAAATACTTAACTTCTAAGCTCATCTGAGACAGACCACAGCCGAGATCGGGACAACTTTTTTCAACTTGCTAATAACATTTAGCTCTCAGAACTTTGCCTAGCAACATCAACTTCAGGAAGAGTTTTCCAATGTTCATTTGTTTTCAACTTATCTTGCTACAAAATTCTCTATTTTATGTATGTTAATAAAGAAGAACATAGAGCAGGGTTGGATTTGTAGTCAGAGGGCCTGGGTTTAAATCTTGATTCTGCCACTTCCTCCATATGTGATCTTGGGCAAATGACCTGAGCCTTGGTTTCCTTATCTGTAAAATGAGGGGAGTTTGAGTAGCTGATCTCTAAAGTCTCTTGAAGCTCTAAATTTAAATCTGTAATCCTATCAGTTGGTTTAGGAATAATAAAGCTAATTTGTTTGGTCATGCTTTGGTTTGGTCTTTCCATCGGTACCGTAAATTGTGTTAGCTTTCCAGTGCTACACGGTTTTCTTACAGTCTGAATATAGTCTAGAAGCTAAGAAGCTGACTTTGTAAACATTGTTCTATAACATGGCCCACTTATGTGGTTAACTGGGGCCAAATAAACCTTATTTCCCTAACTGAAGCCCATTTTAAATAGGCCACCATGTACTAATATCTAACTCTGTGGCCTTGGAAAAATCAATTAGGCCTCAGTTTTCTAATAAATGAAACAAATGTGGCATGGCTTACCTTTTACCCAATAAGTTAATACAATTTTAAAAGTTCTATATTGAGACTAATCATTATTATTGAGTTGGTAGTATCACAAAGTCAATTTTGATTCAGTGTATATCTTTTAGTAGAAGTGAGGTAACAAAGCAATTTGAAACCAAATACATTATTTCAGCTTTATAGACTATCAATAAGAAACAATTTGACATTATTTAAATTTACATTAAAGAAAAAATGTCAAAATTAAATGAAAAAGATCACAGAGTGAGAATATTGGCAATATAGAACTCTTAATTTTTGATAGAATCTAATTTGCAAATTTAGAGCCATAGATGTTAAATGAGCATTCGGGAAAACAGAATTAGGAAACAATGATTTTTAGCAACAGATTTGTAATTAAGAATAAGAACTCCATGGACAAGGATTATAGCCAAATAAATGTTTTGTAGAGTGTACAGTACAGGACAATAACACACTGAACCTTTATCATTATAACTGAATAATAAATTCTACTAAAACTCAATACCTAAGTGCCAATTTTGGCATGAAATAATAAACTCAAAGACATTTACTTAGCTATTATATTTAAGTTTAGGCCATATTTAATACAAATAAAACACCTAAGAGTTTATGAGTATTATAAAAAGCCTATTTTCGGACTCAGTGACCTATTATGTCCTAAAGCAGGATTGATATTGGACTCTAGCTTTTAGGTTTGGTCTTCCATTCTTTCCATCTTGGAAAAGGACATGAAGTTTTAAAAAGTAAAATTCAATAAGGCAAGATATGTCAGATAGGCCTCTGATGAATGTGAGCTTCCATATCCAGAAAAATTATTTAGATCTGAAATCTCTAATAGCATGTATCCGTAGTCCAGAAAAAAGCCCAGGGATCAAGATATCAGGCAACTTTAGATGATCCCTTGACAGTACTCAAGTTTGTTATTGTGGGATTGGTTGCTTTAGTTAGAATATTCCAGAAACATAGTTGCAGAAAAATAAGCACTAACCACTTGCAAAATGTAACATAGTACACAGGAACAACCTATAAAAAGATATAAATGTTATAGTGGGAGGAAAACAAGAATAATCTGCAAGTTTTTTTTTTATAGTACTTGGAGAATATTTGAATATCCAGGAGGCAAAATGAGCTTTAAAGCATTAACTTTGTTTCTAGAAAATATGGTTTCTTTGTAAAAACTGCAGATTTATTTATACGCATATTTGAGGACATCAATCTTTTGCATAATTGACTCAAATGTTCTCATTCTTAGATGTTATAGAAAAGTGGATTTTTAACAACTGGTTATCTTTAAGTATTTTTTTTTAAAAAGAGGAACAGGATAATTTTCATTACTGTGCAGATAAATGGCAAAGATATTCTGAGTTGCAATGGAAGCATTTTGATAGATTTATTCACATGATAATTTATCAAGGTTTTTTTCCCTGTTTTTTTTTTGCAGGATAACAAAGATGTAAAAGAGAAAAAAATACTTTATCTTCAAGTATTGAGTAACGTTATATCTGGATAATGTAGTCCTTATAGCATTATTTGGTTTCAAACACAGTTGACCAATGACTTCCACAATCATCATTTTATGGTGAAGACCTCCAAGGGACTGATGTAAAGTCATACATGTCATATGTAGATCTATGTCATAAATTTGCAGTTAGGAAGTAGTGATTGGAGATAAAAACCATGTTGAAACTGGAAAGGGTCATTCATATATAAATGTAAATTAATTATCTCAAATAGCCTTTCCTACTGAAATGCAGCCTTACATAAATCCCAATATATTAGTGAAATGTATAACCTATTTTTTCTTTACATAACCACCTCCTCTATATTTAAGAACATTTCTTTACATGGGAGGGCACATTCTAGTTGCATTATGGTTGTGTCCCCCTCCCTCCTTCAAGTGTTGTCTAGGTAACAGAAATAATTCCTCATTTATTTAATAACTTATTTTAAGCATGAACATCCACTGGTGATTTTCTAAATGCTATTATTGATACCAACAATCGTAACGCCACTTTCTGATTCTTATAACCGGCTCATGTCCCACGGTTTTAACTTTTGTATTACTTTGTTACAAAGAGACATGAAGACCTTTTAAAACTAAAATTTTTTACTGCCTGTTGGGGTGCTTATTGCTCAGTTTTTCCTCCTGGAGATGGTCGAGGACCGTGTCCCTCCCCCCACCTTTTTCTCCTTCCAACACAAGAAACAGTACCTTTTGCCACACAGAAAAGCTGCAGATCTATTTCCTGACCACCAAGGGGCAGAAATAGATTTCTGCCCCCTTCACTTTCCACTAAGAAAGCAGAGTTAAAGATAAACTCAACCAGCTAACTCCCTGTTACAGGTACTGATGTGCAGAAAGGATCAAAGACCAGCAACTCTTCTCCTTGAGGCTTTTATATCCCAAGTTCAAAATACGTGATTTTAAAGCACCTACATTTCAGCTAGTAACTTTTAAGGCAAAAAGCTATGAAATTACTTTTTTTTTAAAAGGTATTTGGAAAACATCCTGTTTTCAAATAGTGAAGAAACCTTTAAATGTAAATTAGTTGAAAAATAAGTTACTGCCACTCATCTTTCAGAAAAACGTGCAGATGCATTTTTTTGCACAGTGGCGAAAGCATTTATTTATTTATTTATTTTAAAGAAATGCCACGGACTTTTAAATAGATGAAGGAAAAAATAACTTACACGACAAAAACAACCCCCAGACCTTAAAGAACCGAACCTACCAATCCAGCCTTCTTCCGCGCCTGCTGCAGCTCCTGGATCAAGTTCTGTAGCTCCTTACCTTCCAGGTAACCACTTCCTGCAAACAACAAAAACATTTGGCTGGTACTCCTGAGTTTTTCCTTCGACTCTCGGGTTAATTTTGTGTGTGTGAGTGCAGGCGGGAGGTGGGGTGGTGTGCTGGTGGGAAAGAACATTTTCAGTCCCTACATTTACAAGCAGCGGAGACATTAGGGCACAATCATAGCTCTTAAAGGTAGTTAAGGACGAGCAGAGTATTTCTCAGGCTTAAGGCAGAAGACATTTAAACTTTAATCCATACAAAGGGGGCAAAATGGATTGAGTGGCTGAGTGCAACCACAGAGCTCTCAGAGAGCATAGCAACCTACTCCCTAAAATGAAGGATCTCTCCAGAGTAGGTTTCTCCCTCTCCTCTTGCCCACCCCACCCCCGCAGCCCCAGCAAAGATCTCGTAAAGACATAAGTTTTGCAATTACATTAAAAACAAAAACAACCACATCCATACACCCCTCAGACAAAACCCGCAGAAACTTTTGGGCTGTTTGTACAGCCAATAGTGATGAAGTTAGAGATAAGACAATTGCACATCAGGGGGCGGGGAAGCAACTTGAGACAGTAAAAAACTAATAGAAAAAAATAGTCACCATCAACGTCGAAATGGAGCCAGATCTCGAAAAACTGTGAGGCTGTAATCAGGGATGCTTGCAAGTGGGACTCTGCCATTGTATCTGTGATCTCTGGGTGTGCCAGCGTGTATGTGTATGTATATGTGTGAAGCAAACACGTGTGTGTGACAGACGGAGTGTCTGTGTGTGTGTGTGTGTGTGTGTGTGTGAGTGAGTGAGTGAGTGAGTGAAAGAGCAAGTGGCTATAAGAGAACTGGATCCTGGAACTGCCGGGCGCTGTCCACGGTGCTGCTCAAGTAGTTCTGTCCGTGATCCAGATTCTCTCCAGCACTCTCAGCTCACGGCTCGCTGAATTTATCAGGACAGCCTCAAGCCCAGCCACGCCTCCTCTTGCCTTCCATCCATCCTTCTTCCCTCGTGTCCCCGCCTCTTGTTCCCTCCTGTCTCCCTCCTCCCCTACAGTTTGCTTCCTTTTCTTCACAATGAAGCAAAGCTGCGTGCTTGGTGGGGTTGGAATCATCAGGTGGTGGGAGACCCGGCCTGAAGGATAAGCTCAGACTACTTGGGTTTTCTTCTTCTAGAGTTTTCGCTTCTGAAAAACCACAGCTAAAATTCATTAATGCATACAAAATAAAATTACTTGATAAAAGTACTCGTATTTTTTATTGAAAAAAGGAAGTTGGTCAGGGGTTTTGTTGTTGTTGTAAGGGTGATTATTTGGTCTAGACCAGTGATTTCAATAGTTCAGAGAGCTCCTCAGCATTTATCACAGTGTCTGGAACATTGTAGGTGCTTAATAAGTGTTTATTGACTGATTGGAAACTCCATCTTGAACTTATTGCCTTAGTTGTTTATGTCACCAAGAGCTTAAATGACTAACCCACAGCCACACAGCTAGTATGCCGAAGATGCTAGACTTGAACCCAGATCATCCTTATTCTAAGACTGGCACTCTATCCACTATTCCACTGGCCAAGAATATTAGAAAAATATAAATCATGACTATCCACTAATTTTAAAATAGTGGTAATAATAAGAATTATTATTAAAACTCATTCACATTTCAAGTGGAAAAGATGAAGTGGTCAAAAGAAGTAATTAAATCGTGACTATGCACTATTAGGAATGGCTCACTCTTCACTAGCACTTTTTAAGATTTACATAACCCTGTCAGGTAGGTACAAAACACTGCAAGGTAGGTAATACAAGTATTATTACATCCTCATTTGATAAATGAGGAAATAGACTCAAAGTGGGTAAATGACTTGTTCAGAGTAACATGGCTAGTATGAATGAAGATTGCAAACCCAAGTCCACTGATTCCAAGTCTAGAGCTATTATTCACCACATCATACTGTCCCTCTTTGTCTTTGTCTTCACATTACAAAGTGAAGTTGTGATTTGGAAATCAGTTAATTTGACAGAGGTGGTTAATGACTTTTTCTTTTTGTCTGAATTACTGATGTTCTCTTTGTGAGAAAGATTACTGAACTCTAGGTCAAGAAGACTTGAGTTCAAAAATTTCTCCAGATACTTGCTATCTGTCTGACTCTGGGCAAATAATTTAACTGTTTTCAGACTCACTTCCTTATCTGTAAAATGGGAACAGTAATGTCTGTAGCCCTTACTTCACAGGGTTGTTATCAGGATCAGATGGGATAATGCAAATAAACTTCACAAACCATAAAGGCTGTATCAATGTTATCTATTATTAGTAGTAGTCCTGTTTGCAAAGCTTCCTATGATTTCTTAGAGTTTGTATAGGTGACACTTTTCTCATTAGGGGCTAATTCCTCAGCTTGATATACTCTATAAGATCTTCCACAATCTAGTATCAGTTTACTTCCAAATTAATGAATGAAAAATAATTTTTAAAGCATTGATTATGTGCCAAGCATTGTGATAAGTTTGGATGATGTGAAACAAAAACAAAAGTCTCTTCCCTCAAAGAACTAACAAGAAAGCACATAAAGGAAAATTGGTAAGGAAGTTGGGTATGATTTGGAAGTGTCACGGTGCCTTAGTTCTGGATAAAATAAGGTGAAAACTCATTTATCAGAACCAAGGGTCTAGGGGCTAAGTTCAGGTTGCAGTAGGAAGGGGAGAAGGAGGATGGCCAGTATACAGATGATATGGTTTGGAAATGGCTAAGAAGTGTCATGATGGTTTCTGCAACATTACATCATATTATACCCCTTTACTTATCTAGCTCCAGACAAACTATTCCTGGTCTATGTCAACATTTCTACTCTTTTATTATACTGTTTCTTATACTTACAATATCCTTCTTTTCTAGTCTTCGTCTATTGAAATTCTGCCCATCTTTCAAGAACAAATTTAATAAGTATGAAAAACAAAATTCACCTTCTCCATGAAGCTTTCCCTGATATCTCCAACCATCCATTTTTTTCTTGATCAGAATTATCACAGTGAATTGTGTGTGCTTCTGTTATTTTACTAAAATTCCATTTTGTATCATATTTATTGATATATTAATCTTAATTCCCTTAGTAGGTTGCAAATTCCTTGAAGGTGGGAACTATGTCATGTTTTTCTATCTCCCACAGTGCCAAAATAGTGCATTGAACATAGTAGGTAAATGATTATTTCATTGATGGATATTTGGTTATCGAAGATAAAAGTGAAGTTATAGTTGGAAAACTCCATTAATAAGAAAGTAGTCCAAGGGAAATTTCAGGAAATTTTAAGTTACCAATAGATGAAAGAAAAATTCCCACAAAGACAAATGCTTAGAAAGCAAATTGTTATTTAAAAAATTATAAATGAAATATCTACTTCTATGATATTTGTTGCTAGTAACCTCTTTGAAAGTAGGAGGCCAACTAGTTATTTCTCTCAATTACCGTTTTTTTTTAGTGAGGCAATTGGGGTTAAGTGACTTGCCCAAAGTCACACAGCTAGTGAGTGTTATGTGTCTGAAGCCAAATCTGAACTTGGGTCCTCCTGAATCCAAGGCAGGTGCTCTATCCACTGTGACACCTAGCTGCCCCTCTCAATTACCTTTTGAGACCATCTCTAATTACAATGAGGTAAAGTATGGCACAGGTATAAATGAAGTGTCAAATCTTGTCAGTATTGATTTTATATTAAGTCCTAATCATTTTTCTTGAATAAAAGAGGTAGGATACATCAATTTCTGTTTCTGGTAAATATGACTAAACCAATTGGTAACACTGAAAGTTTTTTTTTTTTAATTTATTAGGCCCCCTTTAACTTGGCAATATTGCAATGGCTGTCTAACTCCAAACTCTTTCCCTCAAATCAAGGTTGCACATAGAACTGCTAGAATAATGTTCCTAAATCACCAATATGATTATGTCACTTCACTGTTTAAAGCCTTCAGGGATTCTTTAGTATCTCCTAAAAGAAGTTAAATTCTTTAGCTTGGAATTCAAGATCCTTCATCTTTAACTTCTGCCATATCTCAATGACTTCCATACACAGACACACACACACACACACACAGACACACACACACACCCACACACACACATTCCTAAAGTCTCACCAAACTAAACTGTTCTATTTTTTGAACATACTCCATGCATTTCCCTACAAGCATTGCTGTTGCTCGTACTAACTATAGACCTTATCTCTCCTCATCATCACTTGTGAAATCGTAAATGTTACCTTGAAGAAGCTTTTCTTGCTTCCTCCAGTTTATTGTGACCTCTCCCTTCTTGGAACTATCCTCTCCCTGTTTTACATTTGATAATTCAATGATAATTCAATCACAATCTTTCCATGCCTTATAGAACTTTTGTGTGCCTCTTTAATGGCACCTGTTATATTCTAATTTATATAATAGTTATTTGTGTACTTGTTTATCCTCAGTATTAGACTGGAGTTCCTTTAAGAGAGGGAGTATGTGTTATTAATTTGTTAATCCCTTATAGTACCAAATACAATTCCTTGAAATTATAATGCATGATAATTATTTGTTGAATGAATGACTGAAAATGGGAAAACTGATTTGTATGAATGTAAAAACTTAACAAAAATCTTGGCTACTTGCTTCATCATAGAGAATGCACTCTAAATTCTATGAAGATTGATACTTTCTGATTTGGAAGGAATCCTTGCTGGCTTTCTTGACACTTGCATAGCCATAGTGATTGAGGTCAGGTTTAGACTCATATTTTTAAAAATTTGTTATGTAATTGCCATGGGCACTGCCTTCCATGGTGCAGCTTAAAACCTTTGTACAACTTCCCATCCTGTGCTATTTTTGTCCATGTATTTCCACAAATTATCCACAAAGGAACCATAGAAGAGTTTGAAATGCTTTGGGGGCCTCTGAGTTGAGATCTCCACCTAGCAGGCAGTTGGAGATGTAGATTAGAATTCAGGAGAAAGATATAGGCTAGATACGTAGGTAGGTGAGTCATTTGCATAAAAATGATAATTGAATCTATGAGACCTGATGATTGATGAGAGTGTAGATAGAAAAGGGCCTCTTTTAGAGGGCCAAAGAGAGAGTGCTCTGAGGTACATTCACACATGGGTGTACCCCATAGATGATGAGCCTATAAAACAGACTGAGAATAATTGGTTTGCCGGGAAGGAAGAGAACCCTTCTGATGTCGAAAATGTCATGAAAACCAAGGAGGAGAGAGTACACAGAAGGGGGGAGGTGGCTTACAGTGTAAAATGCTGCAATGAAGTTAGAATGAGGTGATGAAGAGATAATTGGATTTGGCAATATTGAAATCATTGGTGATCTTAGAACACTTTCAGTCCTCTGTGTGTGTGTGTGTGTGTGTGTGTGTATGTGTGCAATTAGAAGCCTGATTTCAAGAGATTTGAAATGTGAGTGGCATAAAGTGGAAACAGGTAGTTTTTTTTTCTCTAGAAGTTTGGCTTTGAAAAGAAGGAATAGGATGATAGTTTGAGAGGATGGTAGAATCAAGTCTTTTAAAAAAGTAATGGGGCAAGGACAGGTAAGTGATGCAGTGGATAGTGCACCAACCCTGGAGTCAGAAGGACCTGAGTTCAAATCCAGCCTCAGATACAACACTTGCTAGCTGTGTCATGCTGGGCAAGTCACTTAACCCCGATTGCCTCACAAAATAAAAAAATAAAGTAATAGAAGGACGTAAATATTTTTGTAGCAGTAAAGGAGGAATCAATGGATAAGAAGCAATTGAAATTTAATGAAGGGGAAGGAAATATTAAAGGAGTAAGTTCCTAAAGGCAATGACATCAAGCAAATACATAGAAGAGAGGGTATTGTCAAGCAGAAGGGAGAGGTAAGGCTGATATGGAAAAGTATGAAGGAGCTGGTAGGTAGCAGCCTAAGAAGATAACTTTTGCCTAGGAAACCTGTT